CAGAGCAGCAGCTTCAACAGCCGCTGGGAAGGAGCACCTCTCCAACAGCTCCAGGCCTGCAGCATGAGGGGATACAAGGAGAGGAAAGGAAATGGGACAGCAGGGTGTCACAGCCAGCAAATCAAAGATGGAATCCAATCCAGAGGCAGGAGGAATAACATAGCAATGCTGATGAGACTCACAACAGCACCTGGCGTGACACCGCAATCCGAGCGGACCCCTGGTTATCTGTCCTACAAAACCAGGCACTTCCAGAGCTCATCCAAGCACATACAGATCAGCAGGAACAGGATCAGGGAGGAAACAGGGCAGCAGTGAGTGGAGCTGGGGCCACACAAATGCAGGTGGACAACCCAAAAAAAAAACAAGGGGAAGAAGAAAATTCCCAACAACAAAACGCCTTGCAACCTGGGAAAAAAAAAAAAAAGAAAAAAAAAAAAAAACAAAAAAAAAAAAAAAAAAAAAAAAAAACAAAAAAACCACCCCAAAAAACCAAACAAACAAAAAAAAAAAAAAAAAACAAACAAAAAAACCCCCAAAAAAAAAAAAAAAAAAAAAAAAACCACAAAAAAAAACCTCCAAAAAACCACAAAAAACGACGAACACCCGAAGCACAGGAGTGTGACACACTATGGCCAAACTGCTTAAGATGAAGACACAAAGCAGGCAAGAGGACACGCTACAAATCCTTCCCAGGCAAAGTGTCACCTGGTTTTACACAAATTCTTAAAAGAACAACATACACAGAACATCTGCTGAACTAACTCGGCTACAGATAAGCTCAGGGATTTTTGACTGGTAAACTGCAGTAGAGAGCAAGATTAAACACAGCATCTTTGGGCATGATTTTTTCAAAGGACTTTTTAAAACCTAAGCTAATTTGGAAACCTACCAATTCCATGGATCTTTAAAAATAGAGCCAAAAAAAGATAAAGGATTTTTTTTTTCCATTAATAACTCAGTTACTGAAGTAAAAAATAGTTTGATATTTTAAGAGCTTTATAGTCTATACACCTAGCAACTAACACAATTAAATTTTCAGAAATTCCACGCATAGCACGAATTCCACTGTAATTCATTCTTTGAAGAAAAAAGAAAGGCCCCAAAATAGCACTGAAATTTTAGTAAAGGACAGCTTCCACACACTAAAGTATCTTGTCAACTGTAAGAACTTTTGCTGCAAATCTTTCCTTTTTCGTGTTTCATCTTCAAAATTCAGTTGCACGGACCTACAACAGGACTCCAGAAAATTCTGGTGCAATTCTTTCTGGGTTAATGGCCATTTTGGAAGTACAGACTTTTCTGCAAACAAACAGAAGTTTGTTTCAAAAGATTTTAAACTTTTCAGTGCAAAACACTAGAAAATACAGAATCATGGAATGGTTTGGGTTGGAAGGAACCTTAAAGATCACCTCATTCCAACCCCCTGCCATGGGCAGAGACACTTTCCACTATCCCAGGTTGCTCCAAGGGCTGTCCAACCTGGCCTTGAACACTTCCAGGGATTGGGCAGCCACAGCTTCTCTGGGCAACCTGTGCCAGGGCCTCACCACCCTTATCTTCCCCATATCTAATCTAAATCTCTCCTTTGTTATTTTAAAATTGTTTCCCCCTGTCCTATCACTATCTGCCCACTTAAAAAGTCACTATTCCTCCTTTTTATAAGTCCCCTTTAGGCACTGGAAGGGGCTCTAAGGTCTCTCCAGAGCCTTCTCTTCTCCAGAATGAAATATCCCAGCTCTCCCACTCTGTCTCCAGAGCAGAGGGGCTCCAGCCCTCTGAGAATCTCCATGACCTCCTCTGGATCCACTCTAACAGTCTAAAAACAGCTTTATAATCAAGACAGAAAAGGAAGAAATATAAGCATTGCTGTCTAACCCAGTATTCTGGCTGCTCCCTCCAGTACAATCAATATTCTCTTCTCAGAGAACACAAAAAACCCACCAAACCACTAAGAAGCAAAGCAGAAAATAAGGCACCCACAACTGTGGCTTAAAATGGATGGTTTAAGTGAACCAGCCTCGGAGCTGGGCACTGTCACTGTACTGTGGAAACACTCGGCACGTTTTCCAGCGGAGCAGCTGCTGTGAGCACACCCTGGAGAAGGACATACCCTCACAAATCCGACCGGTCAGCTCCAGAGATCCTACTCACCACGCTGGCTTTCGACAACCAACTCTCTCCCAAAAGCCAGCTGAAGCTTGCTTCGAGCCCAAAAACTAAGTTACCAAAGCAATCACCAAGCTTGATCCCTCAGCGTTTGACGTCTCTCACTAGTTCTCTACGAGTTTGCAGGAAGTAATTTCAAAAGCTCCCTCAAGAAAATAAGTTTCAAGCCGTAGTTTTTCCATTCCGAGCCATCCCTGCACTATTTCATAGCTCTGATAATTGTACCACTGACTAAACTCCAACTGGGAATAGCTGTTTTTATCATCACTATTAAAAACAGTCCCTCACACTGTTAGGAATCTGGAAACTCACTGGAGCTGCATCCCACCCTTCGGCCTCTCAAAACACCACAGAGCAACGAAACTATGTGCTGAAACCAGAGGATCCCTGTGCTGAACAACTCCTGTAATTTCTGGGTAATTAGAACTGCCTCCTAAGCAAACCATGGAGGCTTGGTTATTGATTTTAGAGGGGCAAATGGCACCAGAGCTCTGAAAGTCAAAGTTAATTTATAGTTTTCCATACTGGACTGGGAAAGCTGAGTTACTTTTAGAACTGGAGCAGTGATGTGCATGTTAAAAAGCCTTACATATTCACCTAGGTTTTTTCAAAAGCAAAGAGATCATATGCAGTTTTCCTTTCCTAAAAGCACATTATCTAGATTTTCACACCTTAACCAGAAGAGTGACTGACAGCTCTCAGAGAAGTAGCAAGATGCAGAAAAACAAGAGTTGAAAGAAGAGTGGGTTTAAAAAACAGCTTTTAATTATCTGAAGGTACTGTTGCCAAGTAGACAGCAAAGAAGCTGTGCATCACATACAGATGGGAAAATTCCCCCAGGTTTATTTCACAGTCAATTACAGTGGATTAACCTATTAGGAAGAACAAAATATATATTTTTTTTGTGGATGCAAGTTTCAACAACTTGAAGAATCATTGCCACTGGTACTTTGATACACAGGATCCACAATCTGTTCTATCACACTTCCAGTCATCACAGTACATAAACACACCCTAGAAGCAACCTCTCCCTCTTTTTTAATGCATCTTCTGTCATTATTTCCTTCTCAGGGAACTGCATCCCCTCCCCTCCTGGCTCCCCACTTGGAGTATCATTTCATATATCAGTATTTTTTCTACTGTTGTTAAAGAACAGCAGCAAGCACCTTCAAACTTCTACACACATACACACGTTTGCACACACTCACATATATTATTCAGATCTGTCTCTGCAAGATGCCACTGTGTAAGGTTATTTGTCAAACAGAAAAGCATTGCAGCAGTGAAAAATCAGCTTTCCAGGATCCCTGTGCTAAATCCTGGGTGTGCCTACTTTTGTTTGGTATCAAGTTCCTTCTGCTGGCTCTGCTGCAAGAGCAAACTACAGGGATAGTTAAGTTTTTCCCCACCTCCAAAAACATCTGTTCCTTTTCTAAGTTCTCCAGACTTCCTTCCCCTTGACCGTATCACAAAGGCTCTCTTTTTTAGCAAGGCTACCTTCTTGATAGTCCATCACCATTATCTTCTTGTTCTGCAGAGCAGCTTGAATCACTGGATCTTGCAGAGCTTCCAGTCCTTTCAGCTCAAGGCCAGGATCTCAATTCAAGCATCCTGATTTACAGACAGGGTTGTTAAACTCCTTCCCTGCCTCTTATTTAACACTCCACGGCTTCCTGTCCTGGGAGGCAACCAAACTGCCACAAGAAGTGCCAGCTTCTGTTCAACACCCACAACTCCTGCGACACTGAACATTTAAAACAATTACGTTACTCCCAAACCTTGCACTGCAACAGCTTTTACTCCACAAAAGTGCAGAGATGAGCAAAAATTACTTCAGCACGAAGGAGCCTGAGCCGGTTCTTTGCTGAACCTCACAGCACTCCGAGTTAACATTCCGGCTTGGCACGACCCGCCATCCGCTCGAACACACAGCGCAGTGTCACCCCTCAAAACCCCGCTGTTCAACCTAAAGGCACTTTCTCTCTCTCTTTATTTTTTTTTTTTTTCGATTTTAAGGGTGCGTCAGCTGCTAACTGAAACAGTGGGAATGCTCCATTTAGCACACACACACTTGTTAAACTGCTCACAGCATGCAAATAAAATACCGCATTGTGCAAAAGTCATTCAGAGCCTCCCCATCCGTAGATATGAGCGGTGGAACCGCGGCCAGGAAAGAGAAACTTGGAACAACGCGCAAATATTTCAGTCCCTTATTCCCAACGTTCACATCCCAGGCTGGAGCCCACAGCCCTGTCATGCTGAGGGGTGACCATGTCGAGAGTCCCCTCCATGCAACGGGTGGGAAAACAACCATTATCTGTCTTGCCCCGGGACTGCACCCTTTTATTTGTAGTTATTACTGCAAACTGCCTTTTTTTCCAGACAATGGTTGTGTTATTATAGGTACCTTCATGCCGTGCCAAAGCACATACACACAGCAATTCAGAACAATCAGCCTTGTTTTCATGGGAGCAAAGGTTGCAGCCAAATGAAATGGGTGGAGATCACATTAAACAATCTTGGAATCTGCTAATAGGATATAGGAAAATGTGACCATAATGCAGATGCGGAGTTCCCCTTTCACCTTCCAATGTTATGGATGAAATAAAAGCTTTGGAAAACCAATTAAACTGTTTGAACAACATTAAGCAAGTTGAAGTGCTCTCAGGGTTCTTACAAGACCACTGAGAAGTTCTTTAAAATTAAAACAAAGAAATGCCCTTTCAAAGCTCTGAAACCAGGGAGCCTTTCCCCACCCCAGAACACCACCTGCTTTAAAGATATGGGACACCTGCAAGTCATCTCCTTCTCCAAGGTAAAGAAAAGCTCACCAAGACAACTGTTCCTGTCTTAAAGACATGATCAGCACCTTCTTTAAGCGGGGAGTTTTCGTACTGAGGCACCTTGCTTGGTCAGCTGTAACCTGCATTCCCCTTGTTTGCTTTTGAGATGTGCATTAGTCAGCTTTCTCCTCCACAAATCTGATTGTGCCTCTGCATGATCGTACACTGAAGTCATGTCCTTGAGCGTGTGACATCAGTCTGTTGCCATGGCAATGTACAGGGCAGTCCAAAATTCAGTATTATGGCATCACTGCGGGATCAGACAGCGGAACAAGCCAACGCCTCAGAGCTGGTTAATGCAGCACGAACAGCCAAGACATTTCAATCTGAATGTTAAAGTGTAACTGCACTGTATCACAATATTCCTTATAAATATGGCTGGAAGCCTCAAGAAAGACGATCCAGAAGGTCACTGAAGACAAACAGAGCCATCATGCATCACTAAAGAAGGGCAATATGTTTCCAAGGATGGCCACCAAGTATGAAGAAAGCTTAGTTCAGCTCTCTGAATAGAAACCACCATCTGTTCCTAAGGCAACACCAGACCTGCCTAAAGAGATCGTTCACAGGGAAACAGGGATGGCCCCCCGGCACCCTTGGGCCAAGGGCTGGGTTGCACAGTTTTTCTGGAAATCAGAGACTGGAGCATCACAGCCCTGTCAGCCCTTTCCAAGAGAAAGCATTACATAAGACACAGTTCTTCCATTTCGAGCTGTGAAGCAAAGATCATCATTAACCCAACCTGTAACAAAGCCATGTAGTTAAAAAAGGGTGGTACCTTCCAAGAGTTGTTATTCCATGTAGGGTTAGACATTACAGTTCTGTAGGTTCCTTGCACACTCACGAGAATGGCATTTCTGAAGAGCAAAAGGGAAGGAAAAAGGAAATTAGTGACACAGTAACAGTGTTACAACCACCAACCAGCTCTTAAGACACAAAAGATCAATTTGCCCAGAGCAAAAGGGCCCATGGGAACAGGCACCCCTGCACTGCTGACGTGGAGCACCACCAATTCAAGGTCTTCAGTGCTGGCTGATCGAGTACACCCCAAAAAGAGTCCACCAACTACAGGTGGCTGGGCAGAAGGCACTTTGGCACCCTGGGAGCCCAGGGTGCAGGGATAGCAAAGAGGAGGAACACAAAGCTCCCAGTAGCCAGGCTGGACCCCTTTCTTTACCTGTTCCCATCAAACAACACATGTTTAGGGGTTCCCAGTCGCTGCTCTAAACACCCAAATTCCTCAAGACCCTTGAGTGCCACTGCTTCTGCACGTCAGCTTCTGTGTAAACCAGCCCCTCCCCGCACGCTTGACTGGTTTCATTTCGCCTCCTTCCGCTTTCCCTTATTAATCCACGTGTCTCCCATAACTCACTCAGCACCTCCCTCTGCAAAGCTGACCTCCATCCTCCCCATAACCCCGGACGCACCCACAATTTCTTCACGCTGCCATTAACGAGGCACATTTCACGTTCTCCGCACGGATGTAACCCTCACCCTCTCCTAACCCCTCCACCCATGTCCCTGGCTGTAATTACCCCATGCCTCGTTATCTAATACCCAACACAAGCCTTGGGGCTGGGAACCGTTGTTTATTTGGCTCTGCAACGTCACACACCCCGGTGGCGTTGTATAAATAAATTCCACAACCTGTTTGAGCCTGAGCTTGATTCAGACCTGAATTATCCCAGTTTCTAAGTGACTGCTGCAAATACCTTCACTTGCTGCTTTAGCAACACCAGCTTACACAACCAGCCACCACAGGCAGCTCCAGTGCCACTCACCACGGCAGCCAATTGCTCCCACGGACCACAACTGCACAAAAAACACCTTAAATCCCTCTACTTTTAAATACAAGTTGCAGATTACAAAGGGAAGAGGCAGGCAGAGGCATACTGCCCTCAGCAATGTGCCTGTCACCTGAAGGACAAGCTCCACGGGCCAGTGTCACCTCTCAGCCACCAAAGCATCCAGGCTTTGCCCCAGTCTCAGCCCTTACACCCAGCAGGTTACCCTGTCACGAGCCTGAAGTACCACTAAGGACGAGATTCTGGAAGCAGCTTTACGCCAAACGGATTTCAGAGCGAAATAAAGCCAGCAGGCTTCATCTCCATGGAGCTCCTGCAACACAACATAGGCTGAGCAAGTTACTCAGGGCAGAGGTCTTCCTTATTAACTACCTAGTAAATTCAGATTAAAGTCGGACAGCTTTTCCCCCTCCCTCACATAAAAAGCAGATGCTATCCAGCCCCGAGGAATCAATCCAGCTCCTGCAATAAGGAAAACCTGCTCGCAGCCACATGACACCACACACAATCCAGAAGACTGTGGCCCTTCAGATACTCATTAAACTTTTTTCCCCTAGAAAAGTCTCCAGCAAAGGATAATTTGCCTTCAATTCATTTTCTACAGTCAGGATGGATGGTAACTAAGTACTGGATATGGAAGCACATGAGAAGTCCCAGGGCAGCCATCCCAGCTCATGAACACATCAGTGCAAAAACCTGTGGACAGTCACCACCTACTGCCCCAGTCACGTGTGCCGGTTCCAGCATCCATGTGATGCTTCAGAGGGGCAATCAAAGCCCTGAGCCAAACACAGGGAGGAGAGGAAGGAAGCACCAAGACACAACACAACCATTAAGAGGTAAACAGAGGCCTGAGAAGAGCCAAGGCTGGGTGGCTGCTGTGGAAGCTCAGTTAACACACTTCAAGACAAGGAGCGGAGAATAAGTCAACTCACCCTCCCCAAATGGTCACAAGAGCCTTGTCAACTTGCACAGACTGAAGACCAGTTCCAAAAAAACACTAAGCACGGCGTTGGGAAGGCAAATGGACCGTTTTGAGAACGTAGGATTAGCTTTTTTACTGGAGAAGGGGAACACAACAGCAGCACACGCAACAACTAACACTGTGGGTTTGAGACACCTGTGAGAGACATCATTTTATGAGCCAGCAGTTCAGGTCAACACAAAAGATGCCAAAATCTTGCTGTACGTGATGGTGTTTACAGGTGGAGGAGCTCTGCCCTCTCATAGGAAGGAGCTGTGCTTTGCAGACCCTTCCTGACTACCCAGCTGAACCTTCTGTCCACAGGCAAGTCCCTTTCCATCTACACTACCCTCGGAGCAGGTTGGCCAACACAAAAGTTATCATATCACAGCCCATCTTCTGGCTTCTTTTCCCTACAGAGGCAAGGCCCCCAATCTCTTTTAAAAAGGCAGTGTGGTACTCCCACACCAGACTCATATCCTACAATATTCTCTCAAGGAAACTGTGGCAAAGATCACTCTGGGTTGATCTCCACAACAGGCTGAGGGTCAGGGAGCCCTGCTGCCAGATAACACTCCAGGCTTAAACATGGTTTTTATTTGGGCAATACCCAACCCAGCCTGCCAGCCTCCTGTCCCTGCAACATCAGTGGCTAAAAAGGGATGCAGGGATCTGATCAGCTACAGATTTCCACAGAATCCCAGAATGGTTTAAGTTGGAAGGGACCACAGTGGGTCATCTGGTTCAGCCTTCCTGCCCAAGCAGGATCATCTCAGAGCACATGGCACAGGATTGTGTCCAGAGGGTTCTGAAATACCTCCAGTAAGGGAAACTCCACAGCCTCTCTGGGCAATCTGTTCCAGTGTGTGGTCACTTACACAGCACAGGAAAGAAGTATTTTCCCCCTATACAAATAAATAAATACCTCCCTTAAAAAAAGGTGATGCAGTTCATGTCATTAAAAAAAGCCACACTGTTTTTATCAAAGCCTGGACCCACTCCAGTACATGATGAGCAGGTCCCTTTGCAAAGCACATTTGGGCCTTTCCCTCTGAAAGCCACCTTAAAAATATAAGACCCAACTAAGTGGGCCTCATACTCCTTAATCCTTTGAAATTCACCATCACTTCACCTTATTTATTCCAAGAGCTTAATGCTGCAGCTGGACCTACATGATCAACCCTATCAGCCAAGTTACGACCAACACAACCAAGCCCAAACTTACAAAAACTATTAACTTGTAACAAGTGTTATCACATTTTCTCTCCCAAAACATTTAACCTGCTAACAAGTATCTGTCTCAGCGTGTTACCATCCTCCCATTGTCCTGATCTGAGTTAGCAGGCTTACACTAAAACACAGCAAGAGCCAAGAGCACTCATCCAAGCAGAGCCTGCAAGAACAGACCCCCTTTGGGGCAGCGACAGTTGAGGTCGATTTAATGTGAAAACAAACTACTTTTCCATTCAAGTCCAAAGCAGAGACAAAGAATTTTATGTGGCTCAGATTGCACAGTCAGCTGTCTTTTTAGGAACAGATTGGATTTAACAGTTCTATGGCAGTCCAGAAAAAAAAAAAAAAATGAGCCTGACAGAAGTTTATGGTTTGGCCAGTAGTGCACTGTGCAAAATCCAGGCACTTGTCTGCAGTGCTCTCATGGCCTTCAGCCGGTACCTCAAAGTCATCATCATCAACATCAGTTCCAAGAAGGTATTTTGAGAGACGCTGGAACAGGTTGCCCAGAGAAGCTGTGGCTGCCTCATCCCTGGAAGTGTTCCAGGCCAGGCTGGACAGGGCTTGGAGCAACCTGGGGTAGTGGAAGGTGTCCCTGCCCGTGGCAGGGGGTTGGAACAAGATGAGCTTTAAGGTCCCTTCCAACCCAAACCATTCAGGATGTTGTGATTTTTCAGGATTCAGCCTGATGCACAAATGCATTTTTATCTCATTTCAAAGAAAGACAAAATTCCTCTCTGAAGCTCTGCCCAATCATTCTCTCTCACATCACACAGATTGCATTTAACACCATTTCTACACTGGAGAACCGAAATGACACCATTTGTCAATGAGACCACTCTCACCATAGGGACCCATATTCTGAAGCAGCAGAGATGGGCTCAGGCTCTTCAGCTTGACTATTCTGGGGCCTAATGCAGACAGAGAAACTAATATTAGCATGTATTGCTATGGAAAGGAATATAATCCAAACCTTCACTGGTTTATATCTAAACCCTTGGAGACATCCAACGTCAATCCTTTACAAATCTTCACCTGGTAAACACTTGGAGAGCCTTCAGCTGAAGCTGCCAGGTAAGGGAATGCAGTATTTGGGGATATTTTTGCTACATACACTGGGGACATACCTCTGACACACACAAAGCCCAGAGAAGCTTCATGACAGCTGCAAAAACAACTTTGTCCTGGCTAACATTCACATAATGAAATTACAGCTTCACTCCAGGGAAAAAGGAAAAAGCACTTAAGTTTTGTTTAGATTGAAGTGCTTCGAGCCACACCACTTATCTGCTATCAGAGCAGATTGCAGGGCTGCTCCAATGATTATTCTGTAATGAAGTAACTGGAATTGGAAGGTATGCAATTAGCCCTATCTCCTCCTCTGCCATCCCCCCAACAAGAAAAAAACCAGCACAGACGTTATCACCTCTTCCTCTAGCTCTGCTACCCTCATTTAAAATACCCACAAAGCAAAGTAGGGCTGTCACAAGCTGCTAACAAGCCTGTCTTGGCCCTGACTGGCAGCAAAGGTGATATCATCAGCATCTCCCCAGGAGAAAGTTACTGGGTTACCTAATGGGATGCTTTCTCAGGTACCCCCACACACATTTATATTAAGCTTAACATGCCTGCATTTAGCTATTTCAGTAAAAGCAAACCACTTTTGAGATGGAAAAAAAAAGGCACTGCTGTACCTACCAGCTTTAAGTTAAAGCATC